CCATGGAAAGCAATGACCACTTTTTATTGAGTTTACAATTTTATTATTGATTTTAGGCGAAAAAATCTTTTATCTTGGTATATTTCACAAAAGTAAACTCCATCGACACTTCATATTTTTGTTGGACGAAGGGTACATTGCGGGACATGAACTATTTGCAATTGAAAGGACATACCTGGCTTTTCTTCTTTGTTCTGTTGTTTTTTTTTTAAACGTTTGTGTGTGTGAAGCAGACCTGGCTAGCTAATGCCTCACGGGTTGCTCCTCAATAAACTGTCAGCATAAGAACAGGTAGATCTTTGAATCAGATGTTGAAGCCAAATATATGGAAACCCATTCATGTGTCTAACCAGTATAGCCACCTAAAATTGTAACAGTTACATTGGAAATGCGTAATTTACCTCCAGTCTGAAGTGCTTTATCACGCCATAGAGGGTTCTCCTCAAGAAACTTCTCAAATGCAAGTATCTTCTGTGGTATTCCCTTAATCATATCAAGACGATCAACCCCTAGCATCACCTATTAAAGAGTAGGACGTTTACATTCAAGAATGAAGAAACTAAGCCAGTGACTTTTAATCAGTAGGTTGCTTTCTCTTAAGCAAGTAAAACAGCATATGTAGTTTAAATTCAGGTTAAACCTTACGGCCACGAAACCTTTCCATCAGTTCTTTTATGTGCTCCAGCACCTTAGGGAGCTTAAGCGCTGATATAACCCTTTCTGAATCTATCCCTATTGGAAACTGAACATACAGGAGAGTGCTACAATACTTGGTCTAGTAAGGGCTTACCCTACTAAATCTGCCGCGAGAACTGAACGAAGTAGCTCTGATCTATTTAGATGACTTTTATGTTCTATTTAGATTATTTTTATGTTCTGTTTAGAACCCATCTATCAACAAAGGCCAGATCTGTCAACAAACACTCGAGGCTTAGATACCTGTTTTCAATCCCCATTACCTTGCTTGTGCTGCTCCCATTCATGGCCTCCTCGAAGCACCTTAACTCCTCGAAGTTCCTTCAAGTTCCTCCTCCTCCCCCGATTCGCAAGCCTCAAATCAACATGAAAACAAAACGAAATAAAAGAAACGAGTTCAGAAACCCAAAGTTTGGACTCAGTAATTGGGGAGTGTCCAGTCATGTGCTGATTTTTATAGGAACTCAAAGAAACGAAATGAAAACTTGCATAGCAACTACCTGCAATCGTTCCTTAGGGGGCCTTTTTAATCCGAGGGAATGAGACCATAGCTGCCGCTCTTACCAATCCAGATTTGTTTTGTATACATCTCGTGCCAAACAAAGAGGAAATCAATTTCTACCAAACAAAAAAAAAAGAGGAAATCAAAGAACTGAAAACGAAAACCAAAAATTCGGGGAAGGAAAAGGAGAAGGAAACGCGAGATTTCACTAACTCTTTATCTTACAGTTGGAGCATATTCGCCTAACACAACCGATAGGAACATCCCCAAATCCACCAGGTTTCATCAACCGAGCAACTCATCGGCAGCTACGCGGAACCGCCGTCGCCAGTCGATGGAATGATTGGAATCGTCAACTCTCTCTCTCTCTCTCTTCTCGTCGGCAGAAACGCGGAACCGCCATCGCCTCTCTCTCTCTCCCTCTCTCTCAGATTGACGACATGCAAGATAGAATGAGAATGGGGGGTCAGAATGAAGGAAACGTTTCTGGGGGACGAATTCAAAAGACACGCAAATTTTTGGCGGAAAAAGCGCTATTCTGAGAAGGTAAAGCCAAATTTTAACAATTTTGATTTTTCTTTTTACGTTGCATTTTGCCGCTACCATGTACACTTTTTCTTACTCATTTTTGTAATGAAAAATTAGAGAATGGATGGTTATTACTTTTTTCAATTCACCACAAATAAAATTTATCATAGTTTCAATATTAAAATATGAAATTAATTTCGTATATAACTGATAGACCCAATATCAGGGACGGAGCCAGGATTTAAAATTAGGGGGGGCTGACAAATTTTTTTTCCTTTTTCCCATGATATACTGAAGAAGCTGACGAATTTTTTCTCCTTTAACAACGGAAAAAAATACATTATTAATAATTCATGGATAAGATTCCATCTTTTATTGCAATCAAATACAATTACGGTCACAAGGACATTCATTGAAATCAAAATTGAAATCAATTTGGCACAACATTCTGTAAGTTAATGGTGTTGGTATCTACTATTGGTTAAAACATTGGGTTTGGGTGCTCTCCCCTCCAAAATAACCCCATCAAACCAAATTACATCCATGGAATGGTTTCTTAAAGCTAAACCCATGTGGATGGCGATTTCTATTTGCTTACCTCCAACCAAATGATGTATTAACACATTACACATCATCACCTGCCATTTTCCATGTGTACGAATTATTATGAGCAATTAGTTGATGGATGGTAATGGACCCCTTACCTGTCAACACCAACGTGGCCTTAAGCAAAAATGAGGTGGAAATTCTACCGCCCACCATTTACCACATACACATGAATTAAAAAGATCACTTTCCCATGCCTCCACATACAAAAGGCAAGGTGGATGGGTGTGTTATTTACTCTCAATTAGTTGGAATTTAGCAAGAGAATTGGCCACAAAAAGAATCTCAATTCATCACTACCTACACTACTACACGTACCCTGATGAGAAGAGATGTGGAGCAGGCAATTTTGATTATTGCCATCACAATAACATTTCCCCATCTTCCACATACTTATACACATGGCTTCTAGAGTCTAGAGATTAATTAATGCTGGAGTTTTACAATCTTTTCTTCATTCAAAAAATGCTGCTCTCCCCTTAATTTTCGTCAAGGATAATGTAGTCATTTTATTCCCTTGATTCCCCCACTTCCCGCCCAAAATCATTAGTGCAACTGCGCCATAATACTAATAATAGACAGTTTCCAGGCCTCCTCATTCAGCCTTATCTTAGGCCCATTAATAAAGCCCATTTAACTATTATCTCGGCCCATTATCGCATAAGGGATGGTGCATAACTCTTGATAAGAGAGCAATTTCAGAAACCACATCCTAAAATAGAAAGTTTGAATGTAATTCGGACAAAAATAAGGTATTAACCATTTTATAATTTAGTTACAATGTCATGATCCAAATTATATTTAAGAATATTTTATTTCTCTTTTGCAGGTTTTATTAACGAGGAAAGCTAAAACCACTTTGGCAGTTTTATTAAAACAACATTGTATAACTTTCATGGTTTCCATTTCTATCACTAGCTTTGCTTTGTGTACCATTCTTATCATTAGTTGTGAAGTAAATTACCTTAGGGAAATAGCGGTGATTGTGTTTGACAGTTTGTAAAATTATAGATAGCTTCGAACGACAACAATATAGGTTAAATTTTGGTTATATATAAATTTTTGTTGAGGTTATGAGTTTTCGACGAATTTAAGTGATATGATGAATTGACAATAATTTTCCAACATCTTAAATTCTAAATATTTATTGTAAAAAAAAAGTAAACCATCTCTTCATGTGTGGTCAACCTTTGTCTCAATTACAATTTACAACCACAATAAGCAAAAGTGATAAATCTTGAATTTTTCGGCCAACGGGCCGACTCCAAGCTAGTTGTAGAAAGACACTAGGTAAATCAATTTATTTTATTTCTAATTTTATTTTGATATGTGTTTGATTGTAGCCATCCACCCATTGCACTCGGGTTGTCTGGGAGGTAACGTATTATTTTTATTTTATTACGAGCACACCATCTACGCCAAAAGCAGGAGACACCTTTAAATAAGACGTTCATAGTGACATGTATATTTGTCAGAAATAATGTCAATTGTGGTAATATTTATGACACAAATACACTTTTCGATGTCTAGTTGTCACAAATAATTACATGCTTGCACTACAAGAAAAAAGAGTTTCAGCTACCATTTTCTTGGCAATCATAGAAAAATGGTTGCTTATAACCAAGTTTCGACAACCATTCACAAAATAGTTGGTAATGCCAAACTCTAGTGTAACCATTAATAAAATAGTCGCTGGTAATGGCCAGTTGATGCCTCAGGAAACCCAAACACTAACGACACAAATCAAACGTACCCCGCGGCAGAGCGCGGGCTAATTCCTAGTATATATCAATAGTCATAAAAGCATAGGATCGTTTTACTTTGTATGATTGTATCCCTTGATAATAACAAAATGGATAAGATACAAAACCCACCACTAAAACAACATATCTATAACTATCAGTGTTGTCAAGTCAAAATTGATTATTGTCTATTTTTTTCTCAGTTTATGATAATATCTCAAAATTAAAATTGGAAACATAAGTGGCAGCTAAGCAGTAGAAAGGGATATAAAGGGATGGGGTTTTGGAAGAGAAACGGAGGGGTTTTGGAAGAGAACCTCTTTATTATATGTTTGTTAGGATATAAAGGGATGTGCTAGAGTTTTAATTTGAGAAGGAAACTTATTAATTTGTTAAGTAAATAAGAGATAAAATTTGGTGCAACTAACCAGTCGTATAATCATAGAGCTCCATTTAAATTGAACTTCCTTTTCTGTTTGGAATTAATGAAAAAAGAATAACAAAATTTCTATAACAGCAACCCACGTTCTCTCCCCTTTTTCCTTCCCCTCCCCTTTCCGCCCTTACTGTCAAAAAAAAAAATAAAAACAAGTTGCTCAATAAAATAGCGAGGGAACCAAGGTACATGCAATCCTTTGCTGAGAAGATTAGTCGAACAGAGTCTTGTCTTTTCCAATTCTGTGCGGACGCCAAGGGGTCGTGATTGGCTGTGTTTTTTCTGCAGCTCGAGTCGACCAATTTCTTTGTTGAAGAGTCTTGTCTTTTCATTTTTGCTACCGCTATATATTAATGCTCTTAGGAGTTTTACCCATTCCCTTTCTCTTTGTGGTTCAAAACTCTCAAAAATTCTCAAAATCCCCCCGCTTCCATCCGTGTTTTCACCTGCAATTCTGCAAATGTCGACGGCGAAACCATCTTCTTCGTGGATGGCCCAATTCAAACCGGGCGAGCGGGTCGAGGTCAGCTCCAACGACCGCGGGTTCCGCGGCTCCTGGTACGCCGGCACCGTCGTCCGCCGCGAGGCGAAGAACACCAATCGTTACGTAGTCGAGTACGACCAGCTGTACGAGGACGGATCTGGGGAGAAGCTGCTGCAAGAAACCCTCGATTGGATCCAATTGCGTCCGCCGCCGCCGCCTCCCGAGAAGAAGAAGGTCCAGTTCAAGTTCGGCGACGAAGTGGAGGCCTTCTACAGCGACGGCTGGTGGGAAGGGGCTATTACTGGGGAGCACTCCGGCGGGAAATTCGCGGTGTTCCTTCAGAGGCTTTGAGGAGCAGATTGTGTTTGAAGAGAAAGATTTGAGGTTGCCTGTTGAGTGGGTTAGAGGGAAGTGGGAGCCGCGATTCGAACAGGTTCAGCGGGAGAAAGAGGTGAGCTAATTCGATTTTATGACTTTTCCTGCTCCGTTGCTTGGTATGACAATTTTAGGGAATTCTGATTCTGGATCTAGGTGATGAAGTTCACTCAAGGAATGCAAGTCGAGGTGACAACTGACGAGGACGGTTTCAAAGGTTCTTGGTTTGCTGCAACAATTATTGAACCTTCTGGTGAAGACGAGTACCTTGTTGAGTACAAAACCCTGAGGAATGATGATGATACTGAGTTTCTCAGAGATGACATTCGTGCTTGCAACATAAGGCCTTGTCCGCCGGAGATCATTGTTGTGGATGGATTCAAGGTGATGGATGAAGTAGATGCTTACTACAACGAGGGCTGGTGGGTTGGCGTGATTGCAAAGGTTTTGATCAACTGCAATTACGTGGTTTACTTTAAAGAGTATGATGAGGAGAAAACGTTCAAGCATGCTGATTTGAGGACACATCAGGACTGGTTAAACGGCAAATGGGTTGTTCCTTCAGAGGTCTGAATTTTATGCTCTCAATTCTCAAAACACTACTAGCTTTTCTAGTAAATGATATTAGTTGTAGGGGCCTGCACTCAATGCATCTCTTTCTATTGTGTTTCTTTTCTATGGGATTATGTTGGAATGAATCTTATCTTTTGATGTTGAATGCTCCTATTGCTTGTTCAAAATGATTTGTGTACGGACTCTCATCTCATGTGAGAGATCACCATTGTTTCTCACTAGCTTTAATGGCGGCCCGTTGGCCCGATTGAATATTGTCCACTCAAATGACAAACAATTACTCATTTTTAATTGTCAAAGATTAGCCAGAGTTATCAATCAAACATGCCAAACTTCCGATAAAAAAAAGTTTCATACATAGCAAACTGGATGTGTACTGTACTTCGAATAGTTGAGAACTCGTCTCTCTGGCTTCAATTTGGCAATATCCATAAATCCTATTTCGCGAAGGATTTGACATGACATTTCTGTGTTGGCCTATTTGGGGCAGTCTGTGAAGCACGACAACTTAACTCATAGAGGAAAGTCTAGAATCTTGGATGAAAGTGCAGCACCAGAAGCTTCATGTTTGCATTTAAAAGTTGTTCTCAAATGGAAGACAGTAAATTAGCGCTTTCCTATTGTGGAAATGCCAAATATATTAGTTATAAGTTTCTGCGGTGCCCATGCTTCATCAATACCTAGAACTCTAAGTTACAAAAAATTAATAGAAAAACAACAGTGTTGGGGTGCCCATGTTTCCAATATCACTACCTGGAACTCTTAAGTTACAAAAACTTAATAGAAAAACAACAATGTTAAATTAAAAGGAAGTAGTTGCAGCATATACATGATCCTCTACTTCCTGAATGGATTTAGATCGTATGATGTTGGTTCAATAAAAAACTAAATACGAAAATCTAATTAAGGCATGCCCAAATACTACATTAAACCCAATAAACACACAGCAGTAGAGCCTTCAAATTACTTGAACATTAATTTATTACTCGATTTGAATAATACGATATTCCGATTAATTACTTGAATATTAATTAATTACTGTTTGACAATTTTTTCCAAACCTCTGTGATGGATGAACCTTGAAATTGGAGTGGCACAAAAAGTGTTAAGTACTAATTAACTAATACCAGTCGAAGAGTACCGCTAATTATTTATGCTCAAGTTTTATCCTCCTTCCAGTATTATAGTTCCTTCCAGTAATATAGTTCCGATTTCTGATGCCTTTTTATTTTGCCCACAGGAAAAATGAAATAAGATGGTTCCGGCAGGGAATCTCTTTATATTGTTTGGGAGGATTTAATCAGAACAACCCAGTACATAAAAGGCAACAACTGTGCCCACTGAGTAATTATTTTTTTTAGAAACCACTAATATGATTCATTATAATCAAGAATCAACTGCCTCAAAGGCTACAATGTCAGCTACCCTTTTTGGTAGAACATTACAATGAAAATTACAACTGACTCTACCACATCGGGCCAATTTCTTTCTACTTCACTAGTCTGACCCCATAGAGAATAACGATTCCTCCTTTTGGCCTCACTTGACATAATTCTTCAGGGGTTTAACTCCTGCATAGACACACCAAAAATAGCGTCATTCACAATACAGGAAACAAAGTCAGATGGAAGCTTGGGACCACAACAAAGCATACAAATCCTACTTTGGGTACTCATCTGGATAATGTTCTTCTCGCATGTAAGATTCCATCCTTCCCTTCACATTCCCCATGGCAACGACGTGCACATATAATGAAAGAAAATCGACAAATCAAACAAATGATTCATAAAGCAACATATAAAAAAGTAGAGCCTTTTTTAAAGTATATGGTCCAGGTTGAAATACTTCCGCAGACCACATATTACTATCATACACTTTCTTGAAGGGTTCAGGAATAAAGGATACCGTAGTTCCAATGGTACATATTCAAGCTAAATAGTAATGGGGCATTCCTATGAATGAAGCACTCCTACATAGCTGCAATACATTCCAGAATTACTATATCATCTACTCTAGTACCCCTCAAGAAAGCGTATGACAGCAATCACATTATCTGCGCAAGCCTCACCAAATATTTCGCATATACATGTGTTCTCAAATGAACATTTGAAACTGGAAGGAAATAATATGATACCATCAAAATTGTGATAGAACCAGAGGTACATGAACTATCTCCCGAATCCAGCAGTGGCCTTCACAACTCTGCAAGCTATGAATTAAGTAAGTTGAGGGATTCGGACCAACAAAGAAACAACAGACGAAACAACATTAGAACGAAACCAACCTCAAATCTTACAAATCTCCTACAGCCTTTGCGAGTTTCTTCCAAAATGTAGGAGTCAAGTGGGCGGAAAAGAACCAACAGATGGAATATGGTTCCACAATATTTATTATGAACACTCCAACTACATCTGATGTTCTTCTCCGCCCTTCTAATAATCTCCCCGACATCAATCTCCAAATCAATATTTATTATGCATCTCTTTCTATTTGAGTAAAATACGAACCTTCCTCCTTGCAGTTGTCTCCCTGACATCAATCTCCAAATCGTCACCCATTTCGCGCCAGAGAAGAAGACCCCTCACAACGAAGCGAGAGCCTGGAGGCAAGTAGAGGAAGGAATGAAGAGGTAGGTGGGTAGGATTTTTTTCCCTTTGGGTTCAAGGCGAAAGAACAGAAGTGATTGAGAAAAATGGGAGGGGGAATGTTTAATGAGCGACGGCTAGGGTTTCATCTTGGTTATGGTGGAAAGGAGGGAGCAGCTGGATTGGGGAGCATATAAGGGGAAAATGGAATTTAGGGTTTGGATTTCCAAAACCAATGCGCGTGCCGCGTGGGAGAGAAGGGCTGTGAATGGGCTGGGCTTGAGAACACATGGCTAACATGCATTGTTTCCTTTTTTTCCTACTAACATAACTAGCACTGAATCCGGCCCGTTGACCGGGAGAGATTATAACTAACAATGCTATTAGTTATCTTTCTATACATAATGTATTTAGAATATAACTAACAATGTAACCTATAATTAGACTCATCAAGCGGTCAATGCACAATTAAATAAATACTGTGATCTGAAAATTTGAGGAAAAAGAACTAACAATCAACATTTTATACATCAACTTATCTATTGCAAATTTGTATCATATTGCTACCTTTTAAATTTTGATAAGTGAAAATTGTAAGGTTAGTAGAGGTGGCCAAGGAATATATTTTACAACTATGTGTAACTCATACAAATATGAAGAAAAATAATGTACGGCAACATTAGTTTCTTACATTAGTTAGTATTATATTCTAGCAACACATCCTTGAAATAACATTTTTCTTACATAAATTATCAAAATTCATTCATTTATCCTTTATATACAACATATATTATAATTTTCACGTTGATGTGAATGTGATTGTTTTTCCTTCATATGAAAACCACCTGTCATCCCAAATTACCAAAAGCCTACAAAAGTACAAATTAAAATGGAAAAAGAATGATCAAAGAAAAAAGATAGTAGAGGTAGCCAAGTGGCATCCTTCCTCTTCAACGTGTACAACATGCATATATTTAATTTACTGCATCCCCTGGTTATAGTATGGAAGGTCCTTCAAATTCTCACTCTCTCTCCAGCCCTCATTATCTAGCTTCTCTTCTCACCCATCCTCGGCCTTATTCACTCATTCAAAATGCTGAAGGGGGGAAGGGAAACCTGAGATGGGATGCGGGAGGTGATGGTGTAGAGAGGAAGGCCCAATTCGGGCCCAAATTGGCGGGGTGGATAGCCCGGCTGACACAACAACAGAAGGTCTGCATATTAAAACGCACAACATCTGTAAGTTTGGGATGGAATTGTCTCAAATACCCTTCCGTGAAACGCTCTCCTGCCACCAAATTCAAAATACTGAAAAATGAAACCTTGTTTTGCCTTTATATAGTTTGTAGATAGATAGATGTAGACTCGTTTTTAAACAAAAAACAGGGAGGGAAAATGGGCCAATGGGGGATGGTTAGTTGGTCCCTATGTAAACAATGGGAGTTTCTTTAATCAATTTAATTTCCTATAGTTTAACACGTTGTAAACAATGAGAATACCAAGATCTGTTGAAAACGTTGTATGTCGTAAATTAATCTTGTATTACTAACCACGTTGTGTTAGAATTAAGCGTTGAAATGTTGCATTTTACAATTGTTGAATACGTAAACACCCTACGGGCAGTGGCTGAGCCACCTCTTGAGGAGAGGGGTCATAGGACTCAGTTGGGAAAAAACAGGGCAACAAAATTCTTCAGATATGTAAGGTTTAATATGATCCTTTGAATTTAGGACCTCATACTTTCGTTCATGTTAGCTCATCTAAGGACACCAATTAACTCAAACTTCATTAGATAAACGGAATTTTGCATTTTGAAAA